GTTTTGATGAGGATATTTCATGTTTCCTTCATGAAGTTTTGATGAAGATGTTTGAAGCTTTAATTATGAAAATTGAAGCAGATGTTTGAAGTATTCATTATGTTGTTTGAAGTTTTGATGAGGATGTGTCATGTTTTAATTATGTATATTGAAGTTTTCATGAAGATGTAAGGAACTTTAATTATAAAAAGTATTGATTATGAAGATTGAAGTTTTCATGAGGATTGAACTCTCTATGAAGATGTTTGAAGTATTCTTGATGTTGTTTCAAGTTTTGATGAAGATGTTTCAAGGTTTCATTATGAATATCGAAGTTTTGATGCAGATGTTTGAAGTATTGATTATGAAGGTGTTTGAAGTATTCTTGATGTTATTTGAAGTTTTGATGAAGATGTTTCATGTTTCCACTATGAATATTGAAGTTTTCATGAAGATGTAAGAAACTTTAATTATGAAAATTAAAGAATTTATGTAGATGTTTGAACTATTGATTATGAAGATGGATTGAACGTTCTATGAAGATTTTTGAAGCTTTGACAATGAAGATTGAAGTATTGATGAATATTTTTATTACCTGCTCAATTGTGCCGAGACTAGGTTACTGTAGGGCGCGTATTTCGCAGGATTTGCGTACATCATGCAGACTAGTCGCTCCCTACACTTTTCGGTATCGGCGCCCTTCGACCCTAATCCTAGCTGCTGGAATACAGAGTCCAGACGGGAGAGAAGAGGACTGTAGAATGGATCGTAGGTGGTCAAGAGCATCGACGAGGATGGTATCTTGTGGAACACCTTGTAATCCGTCTTCTTATTCGAATGTTTGTAGTAATAATTCTCGTTTCCTTGGAACGGATTCCTAGCATGCTCAAAGCTCAACCTAAAAAAAATAATTTAATTAATTATCAATTCCTTTCATTACTAACGAAGAAACCAGCAAATTAAATGTAATTGAACAAAAAATATTCTTCATCTGAAATGGAAACAATTGCTTACATATGAAGAAAAACGCGAAGTTTTTAAATGACTTATTCAAGTTTGATTGACGTTAACATTTGTATTACAAAGAATGTTAAATAGGTGATGTAAGTAGTATAAAGGTGATTGTCTTGATTATCAAGTCCATCTGTGAATTGGATGGAAATACACTTTCACGTTGCGTGAATTAGTGCAATAATGAAAGGCAATTATCCTTTTAGTACAAAAGGAATTGAATGGAGGAAATGTTTCCTCAATCATGTTGTGTAATGAATATGATTATCTGAAGAAGTAAAAAAAGGTATTCAAACAGTAAATGATCACAATAATTATCTAATTGTTTATCTGAAGTGATTATATGAAATTTAAATTAAGGTATTAAGACAAAATCTGATCTGAAGATTAAACCTATCTCAAATACATCTAAATGTAGATGAAGTATTAGAATCATCATTTCCTAAAATTTACTGAATCCAAAAAAAAAAAAACTATCTGGCTGAATACGAAGATTAAACCTATCCAAAAACTCCTATACGATTATACCTGTTCATAGCCTGCTGTGGTGTTTCCGTATTCGTAGTCTCAGCGACGTCGTTATTATAGGGTCCGGTGTCTTTGAACTCGAAATCCTCAACTTGTTGATTGGCGCCGGCGCCTCCTAATCCCGCCGAGGACCCGGAGAACCCTGAGAACGTTGACAGACCTTTTCCGACGATTTTACCTAGACTTCCGAGGATCGATGGCAGGAACATCGCGATCAACACGGACTTCACCAGTTGTGCACCGATGAACACGGGCAGCAGCAGTTTCTTCAATGCGAACGCTAGAAAACCCATACCGAAACCGGCCAGAAATGAGCTTTTACCAGTACCTACTAAAACAAAAAACACAGTTTCAGTGTGCTTATTGTTTTCCAGCACCAAAAAAAACCAAACGCAAAACCACATCTTATTTTTTTTACGTAAAATAAAGCTTTTGTATAATAGCAATTTTATTCATTTTAAGCTAAATGAGGCAATGAAATGAGAAAAATCACAAAAAATGTGAGCCAATTTATGATGAAAATGATGTATTACAATCAAAACGCCATCTATTGGTGACAAATCGAAATTTGATTTCATAGCTTTGCGTGCGGTTTATGGGCTTAAGTGCTTGTATTTAAGACATGCTATGGATTTAAAATAACTCACTTTTCTGATGAAATTGATGATTTTTAATGATGATCAGTGATTATTCTTTTTTAATCCCATAATCGATTGCAAAGACAAAAAAAACTAATACTTCTACAATTAATGTTACATAAATATAAATTTCTATACTTGAAGAAGAGTTATGATTGATTTAAAATAATTCAATGGTGGCGCCATCTCTCGGTGAAAAATGTATTATTTTTTTTTAGCTTTGCGTACGATATTTGGACTTCAGTGCTTGGTGTGCATTACTCACTTTTCAGGAATCTGGCTGTTTCTGGAATGTTCACTGAAACGACGTGGTTTTTGCTGAAGTCGTTCCATTTATTGTAGAAGTAGTCCTCCACTGATGCCAAACTCTTCGCTTCAGAACAATTCTCCTCCTCTGTCCCATTCCTAACTCTTTCAATCCCGACACCAGGCATCACATCCACACTATCCGCGCTGAAGATGCCATCCACGTACTTCGCCAACTGCTTATCCACCCCTGACAACCCTTCAACTGAACCACAGCTTTCCACCTGAGAAACCATAGCAACCAGTAGCAGCAGGGCAACCGCTTGGCCTTTTCGACGTTTCCATTGTTCCATTATTCTGTCAGCATTCCATAATATTCTGCAACAAAAAAAAAGAATAGAAACGGTAAAAAAAACGTTAATTCGTGTGGTGACAAGACGAAGAGTCGAAGTAAATCAGACCGAGTTCCTAAATTGGATTCTGGTGGGATGGCAATTTGCTTTGGGCGTCTGCGATTTATGCGCTCGGTTTGAGGACGCATCGACCGTTTTTGCTTATTAATTCGTGGACGAATTCTAATATTGTTGGACGCGTTAATACAAATCGTTATTGCTGCAAATGATTAATCGATCGCAATTACAATCAACGAGATCCGATTCATCATTTCCGCATCATCACATTAATAACGCGGATTTTCCATTCGCGAGAATCTTTACAATTCATTCATCTCTTCGAAGTATTGATCTGAAAAGTTTTCTACAGTATTAAGATATGGGAATTTGGAAACTAAGCTTCTTCCTTTAAGGATCTTATGAATTAAACATGCCTGGATTGGTTAGCAAGCTTCATTTAACAAAATCTAATAGGATGTATTACTTATAGAACTTTATTGACAATCAAAGAGTTTATTTTTTTTTCTTAATAACTTTACTAATATTCAATTCATATCTTTTGAATTTTTTGTAACATAAATGGATATTATTTAGTACATAAGTATTGAATGAAAATTGTCATAACCTAAACAGTAGCAAAATGGCGGTAAATTTAAATAGTAACGCTTCTTTTATGACAGTTTTCAAAAACGGAGTTTCCATCGTTTCTATGTTTTCTTTTATACTAGATATTTAATAATTATAATTAATAACTGCAAAATTTAGAATTGACATAACTTCATAATATATTTAAGAAAATGTGTGAAATATGTCAAAACATTGCTTTACAAACTTGTATATTGTATTGTATTGTATCAATCGATTATTGTGTAATAAAAGAAATCACCTAATTTGTACTTATCGTAAATGAAATTGTGTTTTGTTGTGGGAATTGTACTGAAACTTGTATTCGGTTTGAGATTGTGAAAAGCACTTGGAAACGAATAAAATATAAGTGGAGGAAGGAAGTAAATGTTTGTGTGGGTGAAATTATAGGCAAGTTGGATCCGATTTGGATGCACTGCACGTGCGAAATGCATCAAAATTGAAAGTCCCCGAATTGGATTATTGGAACGACGCGAGGTGCGACCCCAAAAAACGTGTACGTGGCAAAACTGCATTCCGCATTGAACGATACAAAATAATCGATGGAAATGCATGGCACAAAAGGAAAACCATTTATTTTGTCTCGATATAAACTAGGCGGTACAATTTTTCCATTCCGAGATTAAATTGAATTCCTTTTTGTACATGCAATTAATAATATAAAGTGTGTTATTGTTTACTGTTTTTCAGTTGTTATTCGAAATATGATTTATTACATACTTAATCATTAAAATATGGATAATGCATTTAATTGAAGTATTTTTTATCCATTTTATAATAAAAATTGAGTAATTAGACAAAAAGTGAAAATTATATATCTTTGACAGCTCATAGTACAAGAACGACAATAATCTGAAATTTGGTTGAAAAGGCACTACTTTTTTCTAATTCTGGAAAGTGGTTATTGAGTAATTAAATAAAACGTAAAGGTATTAAAAATAATTACAAAAATCGTCATAACTCAGTAACTAATTAATATTACTAAACAATTAATATATCAATACACTTCGAATTGAAGACGCTTTCTTATGCAATTGTAAATATTATGAAAACTTTCAAGATTATTGAAATAATTTTTTAAATTTATATGAATAATTTATAAATAAAATTGATTTTGAAAAATTACTAAATCTCAGTCATTAATTAACATTACTTAATGATTGTTATATCAAAAGATGCGCATTTGAAGACACATTATGATGTAATCAGAAAATAATTTAAAAAGTTTTATAATTTTCGATATAATAACAAAAAAAATGAAAAATTTTGAAAAATAATGTAAATTAATTTATAAAAAATTGTGATTTTATATAAAATTTTCTCAAATTTAAACTATATACAGCAAGACTTTCACACAGTGCGGGTAATTGCTAGTATCCCAGACTGTTCGAAACCGCACTAACCGAGGACTTTTGAGTAAACTTCAGACAAAAAGAGACTTGACTGAATATAAAAAAATAGTGATAGTGGATAATCTAATTCGGGTAAGAGGTTATTGAGTAATTAAATATAACGTAAAGGTATTAAAAATAATTACAACATCGTCATAACTCAGTAATTAATTAATATTAATAAACAATTATTATATCAAAACACTTCGAATTGAAGATGCTTTCTTATGCAATTGTAAAAATTATGAAAACTTTTAAGTTTATTTAAATAATTTTTTAAATTTTTATGAATAATTTATAAATAAAACTTATTTTGAAAACTTACTAAATCTCAGTCATTAATTAACATTACTTACTGATTGTTATATCAAAAGATGCGCATTTGAAGACACATTATGATGTAACAAAAAAATAATAAAAAAAAGTTTTATAATTTTCGATATAATAATAATTTTGTTATTATATGAAATATTTTGAAAAAAATTGTAAATGATTTTATATACAATATTCTCAAAGAATGTAAAATAAATACAGCAATACTTCTCGTAGAGTGCGGGTAATTGCCAATATCCTGGACTGTTCGAAACCGCACTAACCGAGGACTTTTAAGTAAACTGCAGACGAAAAGAGACTTGACTGAATATAAAAAAATAGTGATTTTTTATACAAATTTTCCCAAAGAATGTAAAACAAATACAGTAATACCTCGAACAGTGCGGATTATTGCCAATATCCCGGACTGTTTGAAATCATATTATGCAAGGACTTTGAAGTAAACTGCAGACGAAAAGAGACTTAACTAAATATAAAAAAATAGTGATTTTGTATACAATTTTCTCGAAGAACGTAAATTAAAATAAATTAATATGATTCTCTTGATTGGTTAACAGTATATAAACACGTTCGATGAACTTGAAAGCAATGCAAAACTCAATATTTAGTTTTTATTAGTGGGTCGAGAGTCCGAAAACCGGGCGGAAGGATTTGCATTTTAAGGTCGAGTAGTGGTAAAACTGTTCTCGATGTTACGGCTAACCCAGATCGACTATACAGCTGACCCCTACCACCATTTCTTATATAACTTTCGCCTTCCTTTAACGGATGGAAAACCGAAACGTCTTCGACTTGTTTGCACGAAAATAATTAAGGTCTTTGGCCAAACGAATTGCGAGCGTGTTAACACGTTTTTTTCTGCTTCTCTTTCTTGTTTTTTGCAGTACATCGTAAATCACGGACGAGGAAAATAGTTACGTAAGGGATTAGAACAGGTGACTTCCCTAGGGAACGGTGCGAAAAACCGTGTAATTTGATAGGGGAATAAATACACGACCAATCACTTTTTTTTTTTGTTGTTGTTCTTTTTTCTGTGCTGAAGAGGAGAAAAAAGCAAATTAAATATAATGGGAACACAAAGGTCGCCACGTTATTAATCTATGTTTTACACGACGATAGGAAGAGTATCAGATCGCTCAACCTACTTCGAAGATGCACGTGATTCGAGTGATTCGGACATCGATTTCAACGAGAAAAAGCATCCTTCATCGTTGACTTATTGTACTCTCTTCGGACAAAAGCAAATCACTTTCATGACCAACCTATATTTAAACGTGAAAAATTACAATAAGTTTTTCAAATCAATTGAAATTTATTGATAAATCTAACTAATTAAACTAATTATTTTATCTATAATTATTCACGTTTTTCATTTAGTAACTTTTACACACACAAAAATAACTTAGAATAAATTGGACACAGTTTTGTGAAATATTAATCCTTTGAAATCCATTCATTATTAAACGTATTTATTTGAGTGATCAAATGTATTTTATTTATTTAAATCCTATAGATTTGCATATCAAAAAATATTCATATCACCGAAGTGAATTGAATTGTAAATAAATCAGTAAACATTTCGAAATGAAAGGACAAAGTGAAAATAGGTGGTATTAATTCTGTCTAGACACCAAAATTCGCCAGAAAGAGCAAAAGAAAAGTACACAGAGAATGTACATACATATACAATTCACATAAAAGGAAATTACAATCTTTGCATACACAGCAATGAAATGCGTAGATACTGAAGAGCTTCGGTAAGCGAAACTGCGTGGAAGTTCACAAACTCCATCCACAAATCGTTTTTAGTATACACTGAATTACGTGTATATCTAAGCATATAATTTAGAACCACAAATACATTTGTGATTATACTGAATATTGACTACAATAATAAATGAAAGTTAAGCAATGTTTATAATGGGTGATAAAATCAATAAGCAATATACGTTTTTTTTTATCCTTTGCTTGGTTTGAAAGATTTTTTTTGTTTCGAAACCTTTCAGGAAGGAAATTCGAAAAAAAAAAATGTTATATCCTATTACATACATCAAAAGTCCTTTTGATCAGATCGAGGAAATGTAGTTCAGATCGGCGATTGTGTATAAAGGATACAAGGCTTATATACATACAGGAAAAAGGAAAATACAATAAAACAAAATGAAGCAAAAGGAAGGAAATATAGATATTGTTTCCTTTTTCCATCAAATAAAATTCAATAAAAAATCTAATAAAATATATCTTTCTATATTATTATTCTTAGTTATTGTTAAAAAATGTATGTGTTTCTTTAAAGCTAATGTTAAAAATACATAATTGAAAAGTTGTAATGAAAATATTATAAAATTTATGTAAATAGAAAAAAAAATCAAATATTTAGAAAAAAAATTATTCAATTTTATATCAGTTTATAATAATGAAATATAAAAAATTTTATTAATTTAATGAAATATGATACATTTTCAATTAATTTTATAGATTTTTGTACAAAATAATTTGAAATTTTATACGAAAATATCAATTTCAGAAAGTTGTATTTTTTAATTTAGAGTTTATTAATTAAATTAATTAAATAATTATGTTTAGTAAAGTAATTTGTACTCTTACTAACAAGATA